TTTTTACATAGGTCTGTAATTTATATTAGGAAATATCCAGCATGGTTATGATGACCAAGAATAATTTTTCCAAAATTGTGTAAGTCATTACCCCTTGATCAGGGGTTCCGGATTTAGTACGGGGCTCTTTTCATCATATAGTGAAAATGCATTAAATTCTTTGAAAGTCTTCCTCTATAGTTGTTCTTGAGTATTTAGCAAAGAAACTTAGTGCATGTTTATGATGAGAAGGTATGCTTCTTCCAAATGTTGAAATTCATTATCCCTGGGTCAGGGGTTCTGGATTTAGGGTAGTGCTATATTTTAATCATTTTAAATATTGGAATATTTACTCTGCTTTAAGAAAAGTTATTCACTTATGATAATTGATCAAAGTAAATATCATAATTGATAGGTAAATTGACAATACAAAAATATTAAATATTTATAATATGAAAAGTACTTTCAAAGGTTTTATTTGACAGCTGGTAGACATATAAATGATAGATGCATGAATAAAAATGAAACAAAAATACTTTCATACACATGTATTTAAAGACAAAGAGAGGCAAATATGGTGTGGGTATGGTGCTGGGTGTTACTCTGTGGATATTGTGTTATATGCTAAAGCACTACTGTTGTGTTATGTTTGGTGATAGTAATGAAGTGTACCAGTAGATAGCACTGGTATATATAGATATAGACATGTTTCTGAGTTGTTGCTGATTACCAGACTAACTATTTTGTTGAGCTCTGGTATTAGGGTGGGACACTATTTATTTAGTGAAAATGAATCAATGATTGGGAAATCTTTTCCTCTACTCCTTGGTATTAAAGAAACAAACTAAATGCATAGTTATTATGAACAAGGGTGCTCTTCCAAAATTCTGAATTTCAGGGCCCCTTGGTAAGAGGTTTTGATGTTAGGACTGGGGTCTATTGATTATATAGTAAAAATACATTAATTCTCTGAAAATCTTCTATTCCTTGGTATTAAGCCAATAAACCAATGCATGGGTATGATAAGCAAGGGTGCCTTTTCCAAAATATATGAAATGTGTGGCCTCAAGGTCAGGGGTTTGGGGCTCTACTGATTATACACAATGCATTTTTTTATTTGATAATCCTCTGCTCTGCTCCAGGGTATTAAGTAAACAAACTAAGTGTATAGTTATGATGAGCAAGGGCACCTCTTTCAAAATTATGAATTTCATGGCCTCTGGTTTATAACACGAACCTAATTCAGTTGTGGGAAGGTTGTTACATATTGTTATATTCAGGTGACCTATAAGACCTATGGGCCTTGTTTTTTTACCTTTACCTTCCCAATGACCTTTGACTTTATTTTTTTATTGTGTATAAATCTCAGTTATAAAAAAAACTAATGATTCAGAAGATATTTTCATCAAACATTATACACTTATACAAACTTTCATGTTGCAGTATTAAAATACCCTGGGTGTTGCATTCATGTCTTTTGGACATATTTTTCTAGTTTGAATTTAATTTTATTTATTTATTTATATATATTAATTATTTACCATTCCATGGATCTTTCACAGGGTTTTTTTTTTAAAACTCAGGTGATCTTAAAGGCCCTTGAGCCTCTTGTCCTATTACAAAATGAACTGGACACAGACTCTCAGAAAATTTTAATGTTCAGCCCAGTATTGTACCAGAAAGGGTAAACTTGTATGAAAGTTTTGATTCCTGACATGGTGTAGATTCAAGTTTGTCTAAATCACTGCCCTTGAGGATGGGGTGGGGGCCACAATAGAGGTTCAATTTTTTCATCAGAATATATATAGGGAAAATGTTTTAAAATCTTTTCAAGAACAGCACAGACATGATGATTGATATTGAGGTGCAAGTATCATCAAGTAATGTATACAGTATATAAATTTGTGAAAAGCCTAGACCGCAGGCGTAGGTTGGTGCCACAAATGGGTATCAAAGTCTTGCGTGGGAATGTATATAGAAAAAAAAGTTTAACATCTTTTCTTCAAGAGCAACAGGACCATGATTTGTTATATTAATATGCAAACATTAACATCACTGCTTGTGTACTGCTGATTCAAGTTTGTTTAAATCATTGCCTCCAGGAATGGATAGGGGCCATAATATGGGATAAAAGTTTTACTTTGGAGTACTAGAAGAAAAAAAATCATTTTCTCAAAAACAACAGGGTCTTGATTAGTCCAATTAATCCAATTGATATGTGCGAGTATCCTTAGGAAGTGCAGCTAGATTAAAGTTTGTTCAATTCATAACCCTCATTTGTAGTCATAAGGCCACAACATCATAAGGATATTGTAACATCTGCAACCCCTTGGAGCTAGGCTAGGGCCATGATATGGATAATGAATTTTTCATGTGAATAAAGTGAGATTTTATTTAAATATGCTGATGAATAACAGCACTAGTCTACCGAGGTGACTCAGGTGAGCATCATGGCCCATTGGATCTCTTGGGGTTTCCACATATTTAGTCATACTTAATTACTACAGTGACAAATGTTTTCAAGAAAATACCTAACTTGATCAAATATCCAAGCTCAAGGGTGTCAATTTGGCCATTGTGATACAATTAATTGGACATTTTGTAACCAACAGTTTTCATTGAGAATGCCCGAAGGAAGTTACTGAGCGGTAGATTTAAGGTCACATGCTCAAAGGTCAGATTCAGACATTTGACAGAGTGTGCTGCGATTTCTTGTCGTATATATAAGAGAAAGCTATTTGGGCTGTGGACATCATCCTGGGTAGCTCAGTAGGGATGGGTATTACCCCAAAAATGTATCACAGTCCAATTTTGTCAATGACTTGTTTATCATTATGTGTATCACTTTAATTCTATCAAAAGCTTTTTAAAAAATACTTAAAAATTATCACAGTGACTGTAATATATTGTTAGGAAGACAATTTTGCCATACATGTACTTTTAAAGAAAAACACCTTTTGTAAAGTACTTAAATGATGCGATTCTTAATTGATTATTCGTAGCCCATATAAAAAGTAGAGTGTTTCAATATGTGACATGCTTTAGGGCATCATTAAAGATTTGAATAAAACTAGTTGTGGTCAGCTTTTTATTTTACTAGCATTTAAATTGGTTCATGCATTTACCTGCAAAGAAAAATGTCCACAGATAGAGAGACTTTGTTAGAATGGCAACTACCATATATAAATAATAAAAATTTAATATGATTCCCTAATCCTTTATGTATAAAATAATAAGGAAACCGAGATAATTAGAAATGATTATTATCGTACAATCTCCCAGATTCATCACTATGGAGAGAGATTTCAGATTCTCTTTACTAATATTGTAACCATTCATCTTTATTTGAAGTGCAATATATTTTACTATACCCATCCCGATGTATTTTGTTAGTATTTAGATTTCAGTTTATGTAATAACTGTATATTATACATTTTAAAAGTACATGATGAGCTCATAAACATGTGATATATATGCTAGTTATTGAAACTCTCTATCTCAAAATTTAAAAGATTTAAAAGTTTTAATTTTAATCTTTCGAAGTATTTTTCCAAAGGAGGTCAAGGGTCAAGTGGACTGTTTAGCTTTAATGTTTTATGACAATAGGTCAGAAATTAGCTTAGTTAGCTAAATATATTGACTCTATGAACGATTTTAAAAAGTAGGTCAAAAGTGAAATTGAAAGGTCACTATATGGGTAAACCCTTGTATTTTATGAAAGCCGTAGTGCCCAAGTTTATATATTCAAAAAATTAAATCGAATCGTTTTACATTTCTCATGATATACATGTAAGGTGTGACTGATGGCCAGATTAATGGATGGATAGAAAGACAAACAGACCCTAGGTAAAAGTGATCAATCCCAAGTGTCACTTGGCTCTGCAGGTGACACAAAAACTGTATTCTGGATTGCTCTATTGCTCTGTAACTGACTGGAGGCAAAACAATTATTCTGATATACAGTAACTGGTAACTCAGGGTTGTCCCTGACAATTGAAATAGCAGGGGGCATTAAAAAAGTAGAATGGGGTTTGGGGTTCCTTCCCTAACAGGGCCTTGAGGGGGGATACCAGAATTACTGGGGCTTTATGTCATTATAGGCGGGGAAATTCCCCGGCCCCCGGGTCTTAGGGTCAACCCTGTAACTGGTAGATAGTTACACTCCTCTAGCTCAATGGGAACTCTACTAGGATCTCGTCTGATTCTTCGTTCAGCTATAAATTTTCTTCCTAAGTATTGTTATAATTTCAATTGAAACAGGAAAGGAGAAAATGTACATTCCTCCCTCCTAAAATTGTCTTCACCCTCAGAGACACAACCCACCCAAGTTCTTCATTGCCCCTGGCAGGAATTTTACCTGCAAGTCCAGGGATGGTCAACGGAATCAAATCCGATACCATTACACAATTAATGAGGGTATTTATTCAGTACCAATAGACTTTTGAAGCCTTTGCAAAGCTTAGACAATAAAGTGACCATGGTGCCTGCAAGATTCACTTACTCCAAGCTCCCAACCAAGATTTTACAGGCACTACCTCAATTTCAAAATCATAACAGACTTAAAATCTAAAATGTCTTGAAAACTTGGAAAAATTTATTCCAGAATATAAACATTGCCTTTTTTTCACCTAAAATTTTATCTTATATGTAGACTTTCTTGAGTTTGTCAAGTTTTTTCTTATGATGCTTATTATAATGCTGCATTTTAATTGAGTCATCTTTACTAAATTTGATCGATAATATTTGTTAGCTCATGCCCGGTATAGATGAAGAAAAGTTTAGAGGTTATTTATAGATTTAGGGTGCAACTTGTCTAAAGGTCAAGGTCAATGATTTTACAGGCCAGAAAAAAAAACCCTATACTGTCTTTCTATATATATCTAGGCTTATGTTACAAAATAATACTGTGTTCTAAAATATCATGACCTTTGATTTTTTGTTCTCATTGGAGTACATTTTTTGTGTTTTAGAAACATTGAAACATTTCTAATTTATTTATTATGCTATGTTTTTCCCCCTAGAGGATGAGATGACAATTCCAATCCATAACTAAAGCCCCTGCATTAGAAAAAAGATCAACACTCCTTTGTGATGCTTGCAAATGCAATGTATTGTAAGTATTAAAAGTGTTTACTTCTTGAATATTAAAAAGGTATTTTGTATAATTAGAGCATAACTAGGTTGGGCTGAGTAACCTTAATATTCCAATTGGATATCCAGTTTGAAACTTTAATCACTAGTAAAATGGATACATACAAGCATGTCATTTGAAAGTCTTGCCAAATGTTTATGATTTACATCTTGATTGCACAGTTATATATTACTCCAATTCAGTAAATCAGGGTAAGATAATCAGTACTCGCTGAAAAAAATTTCCTTTAAAACCTGTCTGACTTGACATTCACTACTGAACAAATTTTGTGTCAGAATAGACAGGGTGTCAGGATGTCAGATTGCACAGTGCAAAACACATAGAAAAGAGTAAAGTTCAAATTAAAATAAAGGTCAGAATTCACAGTGAAAAAGACTGCACAGGTTTCTGAATAGACAGCTTTTCACTGTAAGTACATACAAATATCTGAATTGTATGCCCACTGAATTTGAATTTTTTAGTTTTACTAACTCACTACACCTGAGGACAGCCAGGAGTAACAAAGAATCTACATGTATCTCCTTCACCAAACTTAGTCTTCCATTTTATAATTAGGACAAATTTAATGTGAACTGGCAAGAAATTTTACCACAGTTGCCCTGATAATTTGGTTTTTTCACATGTATTAAAATAAATAATGTAATCATAATACATGTATTACTTCTTTCATTACAGGGTATTTACAATTCAACACGTATGCTAGCCTAATGGAAAGTTATTGAATGACCATGATGACTAATCATCTGAAGAAAATGATTAGCATGGAAAAGACTGTGGAACCCTTCATGTTGTTCTTCTGTGTTTTCATGTTTTTGATTGCTCAATTAAGCAAACTAACTGAGATATTTGAAAGTGAGAGCTAGTACCTACATTTAAGTGTTTAAATGACAAAGAATGTTCTCTGACAAACTGGAAAAACTGATCATGGAAGTCAGCTGCAAAAAAGTCTTGTAAACCATAACAAGCATGACATGGTGCATATATTTCTAGCTTAATGAAGGACCAGAACAATGAATTGACATGGGTTTATTTTACAGTATATGGACCTTTTAAAACTTTATTTTTTTTTTAGCCAGCAAACCTTTGCTTTTTTCTTAATGATAGTAAGTCTTATCAAATTTGTGAGTTTGTGTGTCAGACTTATTGGTTGGACTTTTTACTCATTATCTTTTATGAACAAGATTCTTGATAATGAACGTGAGCACATAGATCTTCAGTTGTAAATTCATGTCACACAAATCTGTATAGAGTTCCATTTCTGGGGGAAACTTAAGTTTGTCATATGAGGAGGAACTGTGATACTCAGGTGAGCATTAATGCTCACTGCCTTTTAAATCAAATGAAAATTAGTTTTTATGCAATTAACCATCTGAATTATAAATTGTATGTGAGGTAATTTTGTGAAATGTTTAACTGTTGAATAAAAAAAGAAAAAATGTATTTAATAGCATTCCATGTTTAATTTAAACCTGTGTAAGAATTTTATTTACTGTAGAATCATCATTGTTTATGGGGGTCAATTTTTGTGGGTAACCAAAATTTGACTTGTTTGTGGGGACTTAATTCATGGATAAGGGCTACCCACAAAATCCACAGATTGATCCTCCATGAACAGTGATGATTCCACAGTACATGTAAAGAGAAATAAATGAAGTTGATCACAAGTACAGTAAAACATGCTTATAACAAAGTGCCAGGGACTGACAATTTTGCTTCATTATCAGCATAACTCATTATATCCATTAAGTGTCAAATATATTTTTAAGTCATGGGGAATGGAAATCACTTTGCTGTAAATGTCAATTCATTAAAAGCATGTTCGCTATAAGTGTGCTTTGCTGTACTTTATTGATACTATTCATTGAAGTTAAAAGTGACATACCCTCTTTTAATATGCACTTGTGAAATAAATAATCCATGATTTGCATTTTTTAACATCAATATATATTTCAATTATAGTTGTACTAAAGGACCTCATTAAAAAAGTTTTATATCACTGAAATATTGTAAATGGAATGTCTGCTTGTGATTATTATTCCATTTTAATTGAATAACAGGCTGAACTAATTTAATTCAGCACTGCATCTTTTGAAAACTAGAATGAATAATTTTTACTTTCTCAAACTTCTTTCTAAACTTAAAATTTTTAAAGGAGAAGATAAGCTAAGATCCCTTTCTGGCCCTTGGTTTGAGATGCATCTTAGAACGGTGCAGTATAGCCTTGTTACAAAATGAGTTTGGATTCTAAATGATGGGATACAAAGAGGTAAAAGGAAGGTCACAAAATTGATCATTTTCCGAAATTTCTCATTTTTATTCGAATTTTCATCAATTTTAAAGCACATTTTGTTTCAGAAAATGGTTGCCTATCTACCAAATTTATATATTTCATGCACCAGTTTAAGATACAATGTACATCTTGTGAATGAAAATTTCAGATAGGTAAGCTTGTGCTCTGATTTCAGAGGTAATAAGTATCGTAGTTTTGGGGAAATTCCATCAAAATAATAGTTGAAATTTGGCTGAATGTTCCTTTTTCTCACCCTCTTGTGGCATCCATGTACGCTTTAAAAATCAATTATACTGGTTATAAAACAAGCATCATTTAAAGTTTTTACTTGCCAACCATTAAAATTCTAACTTTTTTCTATATCAAATTAGGGGCCAAATTCGGCTCTTACCCTACATTGTTCTTTAGGAAAGCTATAATACATACTCATCCAATGGTTTGAGTGGGATAGTCTCTTATCAAACCCGCAACAGGAACTATTTTCCCGATAACTTAGGGTCAGGTGTGTGGTTCCTGTCGACGGTTTTATGAAAGACTATTTACAACAGTTGGAGGCCGGTCCTTCGGATGAGACCGTATAAACCGAGGTCCCGTGTCGCAATAGGTGCGGGCACGAAAAAGATCCCTCACTGCTCAATGGCCCTGAGTGCCGAGTATAGGTCAAAATTTGCAGCCCTCCACCGGCAAGTGATGGCGTCTCCATATGAGTGAAAAATTCTCGAGAGGGACGTTAAACAAGAAACAAACAATCAACAGTTGGATAAGTGTTTTATACAGGTGCATGTATTTTTACTTAAGGTATACAGTCTGATACTGAAATACATGTACTGTTACACAATATAGCAGCATTCAGGATTGTTCAAATCAGAGCCCTTCGGGTAGAGTTAGACCAGAGTTTTACAAGGGAGTTAGGGACTGTAAGAACTAACATTTTCATGAGTATCGGGCCACATTAAATCTTTCTAAGTTGTGTGGATTCAGTTTTCTATTCTATATTATGATTTTCGTGCAGAGGAGGGAGGGTGTGTTTGGAACACTCCCGGGATTTTTAGAGTAATTAAATTCCTATGTAAAGTAACAAAGAATTATTACCTTGCCCCCCCCCCTCCCGGGACGTAAAACAACATTCAATCAATCAGTCAATCGTCTATAGTCAGTAAATCATCCAAATATGAAACAGATGTGGCAAACTCTGTGGTGTCTTTTATTTCAAGTAACAGTTGCGTATACGAGAAAAGCAAAGTTTTCAAAAATTTAGCCATAATAAAATATTAGTCATATTGAAGCATCCCATGTTGTGTTGATTCAAGTTTAGTTAAATCATTACACCTTTAAGGGTCACAGTATCTGTAAAAAAAAAAGTTGATGGTCTTAAAGTCGGGGGGGGGGGTTTAAAAATCTCATGAAGAATAAGAGCAGGGTCTCTTAAACTGTTTAAATATGAAATGCTTCTGAATTAAGATAAAATGAACGTGTCAAATGAAAAGTCAACCATTTTTAAACATTTTGGTCAAGTGAATTGTTGTAAATTGTATAACATGTGGGAACGGAGAAAGGACTGAAGTAGGAATCATCCAAATATCTTTTCATAAATTGCATCCTATTAGATAAACCTTATAATTGATGCAAGTGATTTCCAAAATTTGAAATTCTGATTTTCAAACCTTGTCGATTGCAAACCTTATCTTCATCATGCAAAAATATTGAATTTCAAACATCGTGACCCTTTCTGGGGATAAAAATTTCAATAGGTTGGAATCTTTCTACGAGAATGAGAATACATGTTTAATTGATTTTAGCTTTTCACGGATGTGATACAAATTAAATGCATGCTCTGACACACTGTAGGCCTTGATAATTATAAATACATGTATATAGACAAATAAAATACATTTAATGAATTTCATTATGGTTTTATCAACTTTGAAACAAGTTTTAGTCTTAAGAAATGTGGAGATTAAATGATCAAATAAAGTATACAATACAACATATTGAAGAATTCAATCCATTAGTTTAATTATAGCACCAAAGAAGATTAAAATTTTAAGCGAGGAAGAATTCCCAAGTCATCTTGATGGGTTGACCGATATCTACTTACTGATAATTATTTGTCTAGTAAAACAATAAAAACCTATATGTACTTTACGTCACTTTTCATTTATGCCATATTGAAAGTTCATGTTGTTAGATTGCATGTAAATTTTCCCCATGATTGACAACACCTACACCTAAACTATCATTTTGATTTGACTGAAACATTTTTTCTCGCATGATACAGGTGTAAGGCAAGGGCGTTCATTAAGTCCTTGGTTTTTCTCTAGGTTTATTATTGAACTCAAAACTGTCTACAGTGATACGAAAGTGTGCAATATGTATGTATCTCTTGAAAGCAAAATTATATCCTCATTGTGCTCCGATGATTTTGCTTTAAACAGTTTAAAATCGTGGCTTGCATTCAAAACTGTATGCATTCCAGGAGCACTAATTCAGAAAAGATATAATTGGATTCAAACGAGAGAGGGATGCTATACAGAAAAAAGTATTCATATGTTGCAATTCAATGCCTTCATAGATGGTTCAAGTTCTGCTTATGCGAGTTAAGATTTTTTTCTGAAATAGCTGAAAAGTTGATTTCTGCATTAACAAACAAAGGAACATTTTACCCTGCCCCTTTTCAGTATTTATATTAAATATTTGAATGACTTAAAATTGACTTGTTTTCGCTTAAATTGAATTGACTCTTTTCTGAGGGTCCAAAAGACGTAAGACAAGTCTAATATTTAAAACAGAAGTACTGTGAGCACAGCTCACAAAATGACACCTCCGCTCTCATATGGCAAAATGCGTTGCTTGCTAGTATGTAAACGAGATTCTGTGAAATTGTCCTTAAATTTTATTGGGGGGTTTAGAAGGAATTGCGTTAACTGTTCTACAGCCACGGCTAAATGTGAGATATTTAATGAAAAAATAACGCGAGTAAATGTCTATTATCTCAAGTGTTTGTTTGTGAACTTAGTATTTAGAGCAAAGTTCTTATTGTTGAAAGGTATGAAATTTTAGCAAGCAAAATTTTTGTGCGAAAAATTCTCTTTGCAAAAATATTCTACTGAAAAAAATTGCAGGTTTTTTTTAGGTCTGAACCCAAACAATAAAAAAATTCCCAATAACAGCTTCTTCTCAGTGACTGAACACGTAGCCACTAGACCATACAACTCGACCATAACAAGAAGAGGCTTTTAAGGTCTGGCGACAAGTCCCTTGAATATCTGTTTTAGTATATCTTCATAATATATCAAAAATATTTAAAATTATTATGATTTTCTGTTTCGTACACCTAGCTTTGTTGTAATCGTATATTAAGCAAAACTTATGAAATCACCAATGCAAGAGACAGATGGACGGACGGACAGGGCAAAAACTATATGTCTCGTATCTTCGAATACAAGGACAATAAAATATATTTCTCGATCTCTTCTAGCTT